AAAAAAAAAAAAAAACAAATTGAATGTAAAAACCACGTGTTGCATATGAATTTTTTTTCTTTCTTTTTTTTGTGCTTTGTTTTTGTAGCCATAAACACGTTTTTACCTGTTATTAGGATATAATGCATACGTTCACCTTGAACTGCGCAGATTTCCGTCTCGGCAGTGTTAAATTATTGTTTATAAACTTAACTTTAAAAACAACAACAAATAGAACGAAAATAATTGTTTTTTTTTTTTTTTTTTTTTTTTATTTATAAACAAATGTTTATTACGCTAATTATAATGGCTTGAGGTCGTGTTGAGTGACACAATAGGAAAAGTTTTCTTTCTAATCCACTTAAAAAAGGCGGTTTAATCAATTAGAGGAATTAAATTTATTATTACTATTGTTGTTGCTGTTATTGTTGTTGTTGTTGTTGTCCTACATAGAAAATAGCTTAATGAATGCTCCAATTAAAAGTCTTTAAATATGTTTTAGTTGTTGTATCTCTCATACTATGTATTTCTTTCTTTTACGTTATATACCGTTGTTTGTAAATTTTAGTGGTTTCTTTTTTTTTTTTTTTTTTTTTTTTTATATACAAGTTCTTGATTGTGTGTTTCATTGTTTATATCTATTAAGGCTATGTGTGATCGATTGGCTTTGTCGTAATAAATAAAAACATATAGCAGGAGATGCCATAAAATATATGCATTCTTGATAAACGTGAACTATTTAAGCATTTGGACAGTGTGTCTTTTTGTCCTTCATATTTAAATCACGAATGCATGTTGAAAACTTTGGGTAGAAGAAGAAAATCAATCGGACATATTCTCACATCATGCTCCTTAAGTTATTTGCAATCAAAAACTAAGCTAAACCGGTTAGGTTATGATGTCCATGCGTAATTATCGTAAAAAATTTAGTTTTTAATTTATTCTTTTCATTTTTTTTTTTGCTAAATTGTGACTTCATTTGTTTTGTATGGATAATAATTATTAAAAAAATATTTCAAATTTTTTTTTGTTAACTGTGAAAGTTTCCAAAATCCTTTTTCTCTTGAATTATCAAAATGTTAAATAATGGGGAAATGAAGCCGGTCGCTTATTATTTCATAGTAGAACCTACAAAATGTTTCGAGCTTTCCTAAAATATATAATTTGAAATATACACAACCAAGATTTATTTTGTAATCAAAACAAGATTTATTTTGTGTTCAAAAAGTTATAAGAATTTTTGTTTTTTATCGTAAAATATTTCCTTAATTTCGAAAATTCATTCGGAAAATATTATTTATATTATAAGACAGAGAAAATTCCATAAACATATAATGTGAAATGTATATCACGTGTATGGAGTTAAAAGATTTATTATTTCTTTTATTATGTGATCAAAATATTATTAGAATTTTTAGATTTTGTCAAAATAGATTTGGCAAACGACTTACGGAGAATTTTTCGAATATTTCAATTTTCAATATTTCATACGTTTCTTTAAATTTCCAGAACTTGTCTCAAAATTTTAAGCAAAATGTCATTCTGTCTGTACTAACACAGGATGTTCCTCATGGCGTACGTCAGGTGGTCTCCGTACACGTCAACCATTTTGTTTATTTTTCGTTGGTTTCCTCTTGGTGACCAGTTACGCAGTAGACGCCCCTTATTCATTTAGAAGCAGTATTATGATCAGGGTGAAAGAAGTAGAAAAGAGGGATAGAATGTGGCAGAGCCTGGAAGCACTTTTGAGCAACTTGATGATGAAACAGGGAAAATCGGGATGCAGTGAAAAAAGTTCACTTTTAAAAACATATTTATTGCTCCTTTTTTTGTTGAACCTTTAATCGAACGTTCAAATATTCAAGCAAATTCGGAGGGGTCACTAATTGCTCGAGTTTCTTGACTACTATGCTCAACGATAATCCGATTGGCATAAAAAAAGGTTACTATCATATCGAGTTAGTTGTTATGGCTTCACCGGAGAGCCTTTTCGAGGCATTTTCCAGGTCAAAATTCGCATCAGATCGGAAAAGATTACAGATGCATTCGATTTTAGACAAGCATTCGTGGATTTTCTGAATGTTAAATGCGAAAAATTTGTCGATCATCATATAGAAAACGAGTCTTAAAGCTAATTTTCTTTTCAAAAAATTAACAAACGTCTTATTGTTCTTTTAAGCGCCTTGTTCTTCCATGTCATGTTGGTTTTTTTGGGTTTATCGCACAAGTAGCGGAAGATTCCCATCTTGATTGGATAGGGTATTTATGTCGCCTTAAGTCCCGCTTCCGCCCATCCGCCTCACCATTAAATAGCCAACTTCGTTTAATACAGTATATGGCGACTTTTCAATATCAAGCTGTGTATATGGAGATGTGGAAAAAATGATCCTATCCCAACCACTTTCAATAGCTTTCGTGCTTGGGCCAAAAATTTCAAGATAACTCAAAAATCGCAATCTGTACGCTGTTCACATAAAAACAAGACGAACGGACAGATGGACGGACGATCTTGTCCCGAATCTGGATTCAGTTTTAAATCCTTATAGTTGTTACCTACATCCGCAAAAGCTTAATCTATTCTTATATCGTAAGTAGTATAGGGTAAAACTATAAGCTGTGGTATGGGCGCAAGAACATAAGACGGATAGACAAGCAGTACCGCAAGTGTGGCAGGCTATAAAAATGTCTTTAAATTTTCTAAGCGTCTACGAAAATGTTTTAATTGTTGTTGTTTTTTTCTACAGATTTTTATTTTCATTGTTGAAAAATTGTCTTTTCAGACAAAAAAAAAGTAACCGGTTTTATATAAGTTTCTTTATTCTTCACTTTTATTTAGATGACATTTATTGTTTCTTTTTTTTTTTGATGCGAGAATTTTTGCAAAATTTTGGATTTCAATTTGCTTTTCTTCGTCCTCTTTCTTCATATTCTTAATCGAAAAAACTATATAATTCAGAAAAATATTAAGAAAAACTTTGCAAATAAATAAATAGAAACACTACAGTGGGATACTGCCCGCTATTGCATACCCTATATCACTTGGCCTAACACATTTATACATACAATGGCTTTGGAAAATAAATGTTTAAATGGGGAATGGTCGACAAAGTGGGATGGTAACCATTTTCAATAGCGGGTACACTGGCGTACAAAATTTCATCAAAATATCTTAAAAATTTGTGACGTAGTGTGATTTGGACAAAAGAATGCAAGACGGACGCAGGGACAAAATCATCAAAATGTTGTAAAAGTTTGTAAGCCGTGTCTTGAATACATGGCAGTTGCCATATAACGACTTTTTAAAATAATTGCTTATGCGGGAAGTGGTCGAAAAGCTATTCGAGCTATTTCCAATAGTGTTCGTATTTTAGCCGAAACATATTCGGTGTACTCAATTTCATTAAAATATTTCGTCAGTTGCCGCCTTTAGGTTGAACATAAGAAAACAAGATAGACAGACGGATGGACAAACTTATATAAAAAATGGATGCGTATCAAGTCAGATTTGTAGATTAACATACCAAAGCTAGATGGACGCAAGAACAGACAGACAAGCTTAAATCGAGTCGAAAAGTAATTCAGGAAGCGAATGAAAAAGGTGAACGATGTGTTACTTAATATATATGTTATAGGGCATAATATAAAATTGTTATGACGTGTTTAGGCATTATCGATTTCGTTTAAAATTTTGAAAATGAAAATAAAAGTGTTCGATTATTTAAAAAATTCCAAAGTGTTAGTGTATGATCAATAAATTTTCGCTTTAGAGCTTTAAAAACATAATATTATCGTGATTGGTTAATTGTTGTTGCCAATTAAATAATGAAAAAATTTTGAAAAAAAAGTAGTTTAATTATTTCCAATTGATTTTATTTTTTTAGTGCAGATAATATATTAAAAAAAAAAAGACAAAAACAAAAGAAATAAAACAATTTACGCTTTAAACAAAGTGTTCAGATAAAGTGCTCGTTAAAAGAAAATAAAAAAAAAAAAATTCAATTAAAATAAAAATTAAAAGAACAAGAAAAAGAAAAGAAGAAGAAGAAGAATAAACAAAAAAAACAAAAAAAAAAAACATTAATCTTACAATTTGAGACTTTAACGTACAATGGCCACACTTTGTATTAGTAAAACTAATACAACGTCGTTAACTAGCGAACCAATAAAAGTCAGTAAATTTTTCAACAATAGCTCCAGTTATCAGAGTAAAATTCAACAATTGATTAGCTTGAGTTTCACCTCATGGAATTTTTTATTTATTACATTCATTCTAAGTATTAGTAAATTGTGTACTATAGCAGCGACCGAGTCACCCCATCAAACCGGTGCTGCTCATCATCCCACCAACGCTCCCAATTTTCTAATGACAAATGGTACCGCATTACTAGAGAAATTGAATGCATTTCGTGTTAATACATTGGGGCCACCTACAAATAAAAATAAAACTTCTACTGCCGCCGCCTCATCAGCTACGGAAAACAATTTAACTGTTTCAGGTGGTGGTGGTGTTAATGGTGTTGGTAGTGCTGCCACCGGCACTGTAGCATCATCTTCATATTTCGGCAATAAAGTCTTCATGAATATGGATATAAAATTTCTAAACGTTTCTGGCAAAATTGGTACACGTCTCGGCATAGGTAAGTCACAGTTAATATATTTGTTAAATGCATTCGCATTCACATACCAACAACATATTCAGTAAACAATAAATATATAATAGACGAGAGGTAAGCATGCAGTGGCAGCGGCAGCGGCATTGAAAGCACTTCCATCTGTATGTAATACAAGAAAACGTGTCTCGTTTGCAAAAATTCCTTTCCCCTATATATATGCATGTATGTGCAGTATGTGTTATTGGTCTGCCTGATTGTCTGTTTGTTTCTTGGACGATTATATTTTAAGACTTGTCTTGCTTTTAAAAATAACTCTTTTTTTTTTTTTTGTTCTGCATTTTCGAACAATTGGATGGAGTGAGAAAGAGCGAGAGGAAGAGGGGAAAAACAAAAAGAGAGAGAAAGGAAAGGGAAGAGAGTACAAGAGATGGAAGAGAAAAATGAAAATGTGAAAGAAACTTCTTAACAATGTGCACATGTGTTTTTATTGCCTACTGGTTTCTATTGTCTTCTCTTGATTATTGCTGTTTTTTTTTTTTCTTTTTCCATTATCCATTCAGGTTACATTCAGTAGATTATTTGATAATTTCGCTTAAATGCAGAGGTGGTTTGGTCGTAATGGACGACAGTCCAACCTTTTGATTGCACGAAACAAAATTTAAGGCTAAAAACATGATAACCAAGAGAGCAGTTGTGCTTAGCTTTGTTTACCTTATGCCTTTGAATATTTTTTCTGTAAAATATATAATATACATATTTATTACATCGTAAAAGGGGGCCTGCTTTTCTTATAAGAAATTTATACTTATGGGATTAGTCCGCTCTGATTATCAACTCTTGTATTTGCTTACCTTGGGGATGTTTAGCAGTCTCCCACAGTTCGACCTTCGGACTAAGACAATCTCGATGTACTCTGAACATAGAGCTACCCTGATATTCTTAAAATTTAGACTTCCCCACTAACAAATTGAGAGTATTCTGTCTCGGATGCGGTTCCTTCATCGCGATTTAACACCGAGACGAAATGTTCATAAGATGAAAAGGGGGTTTACAAGGGACACCTAAGAGATGATGGATGCTCTGTGTCTGGATAAGTCTGGAGAATAAGAATATTTCGTGGCGGTATCGTTGATGTTTACTCATTGGCTTTTAGAGTCCAATAAGGCAAAGACAATCGGAAAAAGCGGCCATCTTCCTTCGGCAAGGCTTTGTTGGCTTAAAGCATCAACTTTACCTTGTCTCGATCGCCAGTCATATCTTTCTCTAAGCTAACATCTATAGATTGAATGAATGATACATACCTATATTTATGTACCTGTATTACATGACTGCATTTATGTATGCTTTTTGCACAAGAGCTTGAAGAGAGATCGAAGATGAGGCAATTTAAGCGCACAGGTCACTGTCTAACCAATCGTCTTTAACAGAGTATGCCCCTGACTAAGATCTGTTACCTGTAGTTGAAACTTTGGTTTACTACGAATCACCCCAGTACCCAAAGTTCTACTTCGGAATGATGGATTTTTGGTTAGCCTTTAACAATATTTATTATCTTTTGGAATCAAGATGAGATCATGTTTACGAGAGACACAATCTGCAAAAGTAATTTTAAGCAAAGCAAGCTTTCTAATTAGCCGCCTTTGTCAAGGGTTAAATTGTAGGTAACAAAATCCTTATAGTATTCTTGAATAAAGAGATGATCTTGAAAATTGTCGATGTCGCGAAAAGCCGAAGAGACTTTTCATGCCACGATACGTGGAGTTGTTAAAGATAATGTCTGTTCCGAACGGCACAAATGAAGTAGTTTGGTCCTCATATGAAGGCATATATATCTAAATTGATCTATTGAAAATTGGTATGGTATTGGGCGAATCCAAGGTCGAATTAATTGATAACTTACCTGAGAGATTTTATTAAAGAAGGGAAGTTCGAATTTAGCTGATAACTTACCCGAGGGGAGTTTTCATTAAAGAAAAGATCCAACAAAAGCCACAGTATAGAAACAGTTGTCGTATGCAGGAAATCGTATTAGCGTTATGGTAATCGTGTGGGCGGGTTAAAAGTTTCTTTCTTAATGCTTTTCGCACTTTCCGACTCATGGCAACGATTATAGGGAGTATTTAATAACAAAGTTTTTGCTTTTCTACATATCCTACACCATTTGTGGCACAGGGCATATTAAATTCGTGCGGACGTATGCAACACGCACAAGGGCTTAGGATAGACCCATCTTTTTTATACGGATTGATTCAGAATCATATTCCGAATTGATCCGATTGTCTGTCCTTCTGATGTTTATTCACGTAAATATATGTTCACGCTACAGGTCGCAATTTTGCGTGAAATTTGGTGCAGTAACATATTTCGACCAAGGACGAACGCTATTGAAAATGATTCGGATCGGTCCACCTTTTCGACCACTCCCAATATATATAGCACTCTATTCTGAAAAATCGTTATATAGAAAAAAATTGCAATTTTCAATAATGTAACACGCACAAGGGCTTAAGATAGACCCAACTTTTATTATACGGATTGATTCAGAATCATATTCTGAATTGATGTAAGCCTGTCTGTCCGCCTCTCCAAGTAAATTTGTATTCAAGCTACGACTTTTTGATGAAATTTGCTATACTGACGTGCTTTGAGTCATGGGCGAATGCTATTGAAAATGGTTCATATCGATCCACTTTTCCCTATTCTGAAAAGACGTTATTTGGGAGGAACTTTTCAAAATTTTGGGATTCTAAATTGGTATGAAAACTTTGGATCGGCTGGACGATATATAACGGAAACTGAAGTTCATACAAAATAAAGGTATAATTTTTTAATGCTTCATGATGAAAATTAAGGATTTTCACGAAAATGATCCTTTGTAGAGCAGAAAAGTGCAAGTTTTAATATATGGTGATGAAAATTGACCCATAATAGTAACTTTATACAAATATGAATTGTACAAAATTGAGACGATCCACGCCTATTCCTTTTCCTTGTAGGCGTTAAGCTTGCATTACATTAGGTTGCTTGTTGGCCCCTCGCCATAAATGCGCACATGAGAAATATGCATATTATGTAGAAACAGAATATATTTGTTGCGTTCTATAATAAAAATCAGAATTGTTGTGTAGATTATTTAAACGTCGGCCTTGTCCGACAATAACGTTTTTCTTGATTTAATGTAAATTCAGCATTAAGAAAGACGGACGGATAAATTCAACATTCGGAAGGGCCGCCGAATATGGTTAAAACGTTTTCTCTAGTTAGGCTTGTCAGTTTTCAGATGTTTCAGGCAGTTACAAAAATCTATAATATAATCCCTATAGAGAACCTGATAAAGTATTTCATCCATTTGAGCCATACGTTGGCCATCTATTGTTTTTTGAAACAATTTTTTTTTTTGATTTTCTTTTGCTGTCCAATGAAAATTGTGATTATGTGTTGCATTGCCGCGCGACTGCTTGTATCTTACGAGATCTTGGTATAAAAGGAAATGAAAAAAAAATGGTTCATCTTTCTACAGTTGTGTCGCTGTTTTATGCGCTATTTGTTGGTTGCTTTTAAGGTTTTTTCCGCCTTTTGTTCTTTTTTTGCTTCTTTTTCTCATTGTTATACTTTAAAACTGTTTTTGTTGTTTTTTTTTCTTCCTTTTTTTATGTTTATTTATGACATCGGTTGACAGTTAATTAATTTTCTTTATACCGGCCGGCATTTTGAGAATCTCTTTCATTCATTTATTGGTGGAAATAGAAAATTTTGATAATGCGCGCATTTAAATGGGTTAACAGATAATGAATACTTTTATTAGTGATGATAAATGTCGGTCATTAACATATGTTGCATTAAAAGGTGATAGATTTCGGATGTGATAGAATTCGCGTGTGATAGATTTCGGATGCATACAAGAATAGTTGCATGAGAGTGTTAATGAAACCTTGTAAAGTTAAGAAATAATTAGTAATCATTTTTTTTTTTTTTTCATTTTACTTTTGTCATCGAAATTTTTTTACATCTAATACATTGAAAATTTATGAAAATGCAATTTGGTGTTAACCTATAGTCTCAGTTTTAAGTCAAATCGTTTCAGTGTCCGCTTACTTTTACTCTTTCGATTAAAGTACTCTTTGTACTGTACACCGCTACATTTTCTGAATGTCCGTCTGTTCATTAGTCTAAAGGTGGCAATTTTTGAGGTATTTGGTGCACCAAAGTCCCTTGGGTCCTTAGTAATAATTTAGCAAAAAAACTAACGACACTGAATTTGGATCTGATAGATAAATTGTTTTGATTTTAACATATAGAGAGGTTATCATGAAAATCAAGTCCGCATACGGAAAGAAAGTTAAATTTCTACTCTTCTATAACGAAAATTGCAAAATAATAAAATTTTTAGGAATTAATTAATATAAGTTTGCAAAATTTCGTTCAACTCATGTGATGTTTTGCGCATTTGCCAATATCCGGGCTTTCATGAAAAGTATTCCATTGCATGTAATTTTTGATGTATTAGTACCAAGACGAGCGAGTAACTGTACTAAGTGACATAGAGTAGAGTTTTTAATGGACAACCTTGCCTGTCTACAATGTTGTTACATGTTTTTATTTCACCTGGGATAGTTATCGCTGAAAATGTTTTGGATTACGGCTAACAGCATTACCTTCTATTGAATAATGTTTTATGTGAAAATATTAAGAGAATTATGGAAAATAATTTACTGTCATATTTCAATTGGCGATGGTATCAATGGATACAATTAGAAAGTGCATAGAGATTAAAAAGAAAATGAAAAGTTGTGGATTAAATGTAAAAGTATCTAAAACTTTGTTTTGTATAAAATGACTCATTGTACCCTACGCCACATGTAATACAAGGGTATATTAAGTTTGTGCTGATGTATGTAACGCCCAGAAGGACTTGAGATAATCCCACTTTTTATTATGTTGATCGATTCAGGATTATTTTCGATCCGTCTGTCCGTCTCGTTTTTTTGTGGTCAATCTATAGGCCGTAATTTTCGAGATATTTT